TCTGTTGTTCCATTTGTCTGCACTAACTGACTCGCTGCGATTCCTCCACCTGTCAGCAACAACTCACCCCAACGCTGTAGTGAGTGTGTGTTTTGGAGGGATTTTTGTTGGGTTTTTCCTTTTTTTGCTTCCAAGGCAGCATTGTTTTTCTTGGCTCTGTAAAATAGCAAGTCTTCAGGGAATAAAACGGACACAGGCACTCAGTCTTAGACATCCACACTAATTCACACACTCACACAACAAAGCTGGAATTCCCCCGGATGTCACCCTTGCCCTGTTGGCATTGTGACTGTTTAAATGACAGGAGAGCATTCGAGACAAACTCCCACAATCCTCTTTTCTTCATTCTCTCTCCACCATTTGTTTCTCCTTCGTATACACTCGCTGTGTCCCCCTCCTCTTCCCTGCAGTGTTACTCTCTCTCTCCACATCCCAATGCCCCCTCCATCCCATCGCTCTGTCACTTCCTGTCTCCCTCTCCAGGTCTGTGTTAGCCCAATATATTAAATATTAATGTCAGTTGTGCTCTGAGCCATAATTGCCATCTCAGCCTCTGAATAATGGATGTCACTGTGCTGTTCACTACTACACTATGGCTAACAGGCTAAAAAAAAAAAACAGCATGCAGGGGTGGTTTGCTGCATTACTCTGGTTTAGAGGCTAAACAACACACAGCATCCTAGTGTGGCAAATCCAACAAATCATGTTTCTATACAACTTTACGGCAACAGCAAACACTGCAAATTTTGTAGGTGACGACATCGCTGGCTGTATTATGCTCAAAGGCAACTTTGGTATGAATGAAAGAAGCTTTATATTTATTACATGCAGCGAGAGGCTGTTTAGAGAGGATGGCGAGCATCCGGGGTCATGCTTGTGTAGAAAGATGGTGGTCAAATGTAAATACACATGTTGTGTCTGAAGTTACTATGAACCTTTTAAACCGGACCTTTGTCTTTATTTAAGCTTGATATAAGTTACTTTAAGTAAGTGTTGCTGGTTCAACTCAAACAGAACAGTTGCATTTCCTTTTCCCTCATGTCTCCTGTCAGTCATAATTTACGCAACGTATAGAAAAAGGAATTTTTAAAAATTAAGCGCTTGCAAAAAGATAGAAGAACAATAATAATAATAAGCAATAATCTTAAACCTTCTTTCCTCCTCCTTTGTCGCCTGCCATCTTTATTTTTTCATAAGATTTTAACTTTCTACGATTCTGTCAGAAGCTCTGCCAAGTAACTTGGCAGGCGTTTGCAATAAGACATCTAAAGAAAGCAAGGAGACGGAGAGGAGACAGAGAAGCACTGATCTGTTGTTCCATTTGTCTGTCACTAACTGACTCGCTGCACATTTTCCCACCTGTCAGCAACAACTCACCCGAACGCTGTAGTGTGTGTGTGTTTGCAGCATGCAGGGCTGGTGTTGGGTCAGCTCTCTGAGTGCAGTACTTGCAATATAGCAAAGGTCAACAGCGCTGATATCACTTGAACACGATCGCGCCTCGGAGAGAGGGAGAGAGGGAGAGTGCTCCCCTCCCCCCCTCCCCCAGAGTCATTCAGGCTCTTATAATTGGCCTGTTTAATTGGAGGCCTCTTAATGACCAGCGACTGGACCGTCCAATCAATTCACACCAGGTGCCTTGTGTGTGTGTGCAGGTGTGCGTTTAGCTGCAAGGCTTTTTGTAGTAGAGTTGATTAGGCCAGATGGGGTCAAGTGACAGGGGAAGAAGGAACGCACACACACCGAAATAAGAAAAATGTTCCGCTGGCATTCAGGGAGAGGAAACGTAGGAGTCGAGCAGTAGACACAGAAATATGAGAAATAATGAGCGAGATCATCAGCTCACCAGTGAAACAAGCCAATGATTGGCTGAAATGATTAAGTGTGTGAAGACACTGATGGGGGAAATGCATCAGATGATTTAGATGAAGTTTTAATGTTTAAATGTTCTCAGTGATGCAGCAGTAAAGATGAAACTTTATTGTTAACCGTCGGAATAGGTAGAATCAGTGTTTACAGGTTTCAAACACGTAAAAGATACAAAGCTAGGATTTTTTTCTAGCAGGAGGCCGGCTGGTAACAATGTACCAGTAAAGGCTGAGCAGAGGAAGCTCACTAACTGATGTGGATGGTCCTGATTTCAATGATTCCAGTGTGTGTGTGTTGATGGTAGGGATGTACAATTGCAAATCTTTCTCTCCTTGTACAGATTCTGATACTTCAGCTCAGGGCATCTGCAGATTTCTTTTTTTAATATACGGTAACTGTCATGATCATTTGGGGTAGGGAAGATTTTTCTGTCAAGGGCCATTTCAGTTTTTTATAGAATCCTTTGGAAGCCACACTAAATTATTGATACATATCATGTATAACACTGACCTCTCCTTGGCAAGGTGTCTGATGTCAGATGGTAGTGATGATGATGATGATGATGATGATGCTTCTTGCAGCTATTTGCTCAAACAAATCCTCACCTTTGGTCAAGCTGTGCATGATTTGCAAAAACAGCTATCCACCTTCATATCAAACTCAGCAGTGATCCCACTCACAATCTTGGCTAGTTGGTTGTGTTTTAGTTCTGTTGTTTCATCGCAGGCCTGAGTAAAAAATGCAGACAAGGTACACTGACTCTTTTACTTGCACAAAAAAATAATTGTCCATTTCTCTTGGAAAGCAATGTCTATTTGTCTACTTTTCTTTGTTGACGGTCACAGTGATGCTTAAGTAATAATTACATGTGTGTTTCCTGACCTGAACAGGCATACAGCCAAAAGGGACCACCCTGAAGGACACGTTAGTCTCTGCTAAGTTATTTACTGTTGCTGCAGAAAAAAAGTCTGTCATTAGAATTATTGAGTATATTTGAATTAGTGTGTGGGTCTAGTTTCCACACTCTTGATAACAAGTAGTTTTTATCTCAATACATGTTGTGCATACATGTCTTCATTAGTTAAAGTTTACATTCAAATGCTTCTTACATTAAAATAACAATATAATAGATCGATTTTAACACAGGAATTGTATTTTAGTATTCCATTTTTTTCCCAACACTGCTTTGGTCTCTTCATATTTCAGGCAGATGAGCAGGGGAGTGTGTGATCCTCCCAGCCACCTCCTCTACACAGAGATCTACAGGGGAGGGTCAGCTGGGGTGGTTGTGTTAACGCTATGCTAGTGTTGTGAGAAGGACTAGACAGTGGGAGGTCAGCAGGGGTCACTGTGGCTGTCCTCTGCTGTGATAGGCTGTCACCCGGGGGTGAGGGGTCAAGATAATTAGGCATGCAGAATCCCAGTGCCGGTGTTCTAACGAAGCCTGAGCTCGTTAACGCAGAGTTTTACACTCAGACCTGCCACTGGGCTGTGCTGCACCGTCACACACTTACACACACACACACACATGCGCAGTGCATGCTCGCACACACACATATAAGCGCACACCTCTGATTTGTTCTGGTGGTCCAGTTCAAGAGCTGTCATCTTATGAACAGAAGAGCACCAGGCTCAACCACAAGAGAACAGAGGTGATGCAGACTTTTAAAAAGTTTATTAAGTACACAATTTTTTTAAATTAAGATGAAGATAGCACTCTGATTAAAGATGATATAAAATAGAAGAGGTACCTGGAGAGTGAATACCTCTGCCATAATGCTGATGCCCTATTTCACCATGTTAAAGAAAGTACAAAAAACTACTTGATCCACCTGTTTATCCAGATTAAGAAAATGACAATGAAAAGAACTTCATACAACTCTATAATGAGCAAGACACGTCATGTAGAAGCGTTTGTGCAGTGCAGAGACAGTATTATCTTGCAGTGGGCTTGTATTACATTGTGACTGTTATTGAGCATTAACACACAGATGTAACAAACATACGAAAATGTGTCAGTCTGTGTTTTTTTCTGTGTTAACGCCATGTTGGTTCTGCCAGGCCGGCCAGCTGGCTTGCACCAAAATGCAACCTGGATGTGTTTGTTTGCTGGCAATGGCCATCTGTGTGTTTGATTCGTTCCGTAGTAAAGATCCATGACATATGGTCCCGTTTAAAACATCCAGTGTCAACATAATTCCCCTTATTGAAAGAAATGACATCAGGGTTAAGCAGAAAGAAAACACTTCCACCACATCCTGAAAGTTGTTTTTCAAACTGTTTCTCTATCATATCATGGAGACAAAGGCAGCAGAGGCATGTTAGAGTTTGGAATTACAAAAGGATGTAACTGAAGGTGAAACCTAAGATTTTGTCAAACTTAAATTGCTTCACAATTATATAGGCTGCTTTCAGACATGCACTGAATTCCTGGAACTTTCCTGCCAGCCCAATACTGAATTGTCTGAGTGAGCCCATGTGAGAATGCAGCAAGAACATTTTCATCAAATTCAAAGCGAGCAAGCGGGCACGTTGATGATGTTTCGAACACATAACAAACATAAAATAAAAAGAATACATATTTCTCTGGATGAACAAGCCATATATGTCAAAGATTTTTAAACAAAAATGTGTTCCATAGCGGAAATTATACGTCATGTCCTGAATCCTGCTGCTCTACCCAGAGTCCAACCCTTGTCTGAATGTTCTGGACATTTTTCTGTTGTTGTGAACGCATGTGACTCAGACAATTTCCTGCTGGGTTCTTCACATGTGAAAGACAAACTCCAGGAAACTGCGTCCGTACATTTTCTGGTGTTCAGGTCTGAATATTACCACATATTCACTGCTTTTGCTAGACTGTCCTGTTTTATTCACCTTCATCTGTGTATATCTGGCTTCTCAAAGCAGTCAGTGTGGATTCTAAAAAAAAACTGCCACCTATCCATGAGGAAAGTCATTTTAAAATTCGAAGAGTATGAAATATTAATTTCGGTGTCTGTATTTGGGGATCTGTCTGCAGTGAATGTTGGAGACTGGGCTTGAAATCACATTTCCTGAAGGAATGTAGCGAGGTGGTCTGATGTTAAAATGTTAACCTCAAATTTTACCTTCCCTCTCTGTTTCCATAGATTCTTCCTCAAGTTTTTCCTGAAGTGCAACCAGAACTGTTTAAAGAACGCGGGGAACCCACGGGACATGAGGCGGTTCCAGGTAAAAACCACAATCCTTCTATTCGTCTCTTTTGTTTGTCAAGCTTGTCCCTCTTTCTCTTCCCTGTAAGTCATAATAACACACAAAGCTTTATGGTTACAGTAACACAAACAATGGAATGTGTGTGTGTGTTTCTGTGAAAGTAAATAAGCTATCAGCGCCTTCACAGGAAACATGAGGTCCTGACCCTGACTAGTCAGAACATAAATATACACACAAAAGCAGAGAGTTAAAGAAGAAAGAATAGGAAAGAAAGAAAGGACGTGGGGTTGTGATTAAGATTTAGAGTAGTGCAGTCTTTATTATTTCCTTGTCTTCACAGCCAGAATACAATCAGGAAGACACCACTTTAGTTGGAGTGGAGATGGTGGATGCCCGAGAGATACTCATGGATTTATTACTGGGGCACGGGTGTGTGAGAGCATGTGTGCGATATGTATTTCTGCTGCTGTGCACTCGTGTGTGTGTGTGTGTGTGTGTGTGTGAGACAGGACAGCGAGACAGAGTCGTACAGTAGCGAGTGTGTGACAGTATCTTTGCCTCTAATTGTGCAGCTCTATTGTAGTGGAACCAGAGAAGACAGCTCTGTTTCCCTGGGAGATAATTAAGGGCCGGACCCATCAGGAACTATTGAACAGAGGAGGATAGACAACACACACACATCTGCACACACACACACACACACACACACCGTACAGTCGCAGGGACTGTGTGTGTGTGTTGAGGCTGATGGTAATAGCTGTGATAACGGGTTACACTTAAAGAGCTTTTCACAGTTTCATGCTTTTAACTCCTACTTACAATGATCCCAACTTTGTAATTCCTCATTTTTGCTTTTCTTTTCTCTCTCTCTTACTCTCTCTCTCTCCTCCCCCTCTCTCCTCCCCCCTTTTCCATTCTTACCTCTTTTTTCTTCCACTTCCAATCCCCCCTCCCCTCTCATCCCCTGCTTCTCTCCAGGTGGTGGTATCGACCACGGTGAGCGTGGATGGACATGTCCTGTCCGTGTCCGACAACATGTTTGTGCACAACAACTCCAAACATGGCCGACGGGCCCGCAGGCTTGACCCCGTGGAAGGAACGCAGTCTTACCTAGACCACGGTAACACAAGAGTGTGTGTGTGTGTGTGTGTGTGTGTGTGTGTGTGTGTGT